TAAAATGAGAATGAAAGTTTCGGTGGTGTTTCCTGGAAATATGTTGCGAAAGAATTATTTGTTGAAGAGAAAGCTTTGAAACGGAGAGCATATTTAGCTGTCATAAAGTTTAATAACAGTTATAAAGGACTGTTATATATCCTTAATAGAGTTGGTGTCCAACCTGGAGTTAAAACGTTGAAGGTTTCTCAGATTTGGATGCGAAACGACTTAACAAATTGAAATCCACTTAATCCCAAATAAGAAAAATGGCCAGGAAAAAAATAGACTGGTTAAAAAAAAAAGCAAAATTGTTAAATATGAGCTAAAAGAAGGTATAATCTACAAATGTGCTGAATTCTAGATGCATGCATGTAATAATTTTTTAGAGAACTTCAGGATTAGAAGATAGCTGCGAAGATACATAAAATAAGAAAACTTTTCAGAGACGTGGCCGTTGATTCAACATGGTTTTATTTCGTAATAAAGCAGGCCTTGATAAGCGTAAACAGGTTTACATATTATCATTATGGATTCGCTATGCATACCACAATTTTATATACTTATTCCCGTATAGACAGACATAAAACATGAAAGTAAGCTAATAACTTTAATTTGGAAATAGTGCTTTTAATTCTTTATTTTGACCTAGCTAATACCCTTTTCTTCCTAAAAGTAGAAACCGTTTATGACATTGTTTAAAATAACATTCCCGACTGCGTGTTTCAGAATTGATTCGTTTCATACTTGCCTATGTAATCCACCCTCTTGTCCAATCACAGATCAAAATTTCAACAAAGAACCAAGTCTATAAATATCGCTGCTACTAGATGCGCGCGCAGCCCTTTTTTCCCACTTCGCTTACTGCTGGCAACGTGGAATTTTTATCACTGCTTTATCCTTTGTTTAAAGATGTAAACCGCTATATGAAATTGCGGGTTGCATAGCGCTCGCAAAATCATGTCTGAACCTGTCTATGCTTATCAAGGCTTATTTTATTACCAAATAAAACTATGGTGAATCAACGACCACGTCTGAAAGTTTTCCTTCTATTTTATGTATCTAGGCATCTATCTTCTAATCCTAAAGTTATCTACGGAATTATTGCAATTACCTGACTAATTTATTTACATAAAAGCAGAAAGAAGCAATATAGTAGTTTGGTGACCTTCAAAGCACTTTTGAACACATCGTTAAATCACTTTCACTTGATTATTTTTTGGAAGCACTAGTAGGTTACATCATGCACTATTAAAAGCCGCAGAAGTACAATAATAGGAATTTTTTCTTCCTTCTTCATGTTACTGGATATTGTTACCGAGTTCCGTAGACCAATTTTCAACCAAGCAGGGGTCATTTTTCACAAGTTCGATCATGTCAGACTTTATTAACTGTAATAATTCTGTATTTTAACATGAAGATTAAAAGACAAATGCGTAGGATACATAAGATGACGTAACGGAGAAGAAAAACTTTCAGACGTGGCGGTTGATTCAACACAGTTTTATTTCATAATGAAACAAGCCTTGATAAGCATAAAAAGGTTCACACATCATCATCATGCGCACTCTGTAAACTCCATAATTTTACATATATATATATTTTCCAGTAAATATATGCAAATGTAAACTGAACATGCATTTTCCTCATAATGTGTTTTTGTTTGGCACATTTTGAGTTACTCTTTTGAAAAATCGTCAACTCAATATTTTTTAGATACACTTTTGAAATTACTTGTACGTTGCTTTTATTCTATTTTCTAGTGAATAAACTAAAAACGATATGATAGTGTAAATACATTCTGAGTTATGGCTATATAGTATTTGAATACTTATATCAACAATTTTTATAAAATGTCCTATATTATTTGTTGGATTTTCCTTTATCTGGTAAAAATTAACCAGTCCAAAAGAGCTAACAGACTTATTTAACAAAATTTAGAACATAAATGCACGTTCTTGTGCTAACAAAATCAACCACAGAGCGTGGTAATACAACTAAATAGCAGCCAAATTCAATTTAAAATATAGTCAAAAACCACACAAATTAAATATTAATTTAAACTGGTTCAGTAACTCTAACCGGAGTATCCGAAGAGGTTCAAATAGATTGATTAAGCATGATGTCACAAAAATCAAGGAAATGTCAAAAACATGACGTCACGACTTACCATGGCCGACATAGAGGGTACGCATACGATTACGAAACAAATTGTTAAATAAAATTAATTCAGTATCAAATGAGAGCAAATATCAACGTCCGGAGGCTCAGAAATGTGTCTTTGGCCATAATTTGCATAAAATGCTGTTGAAAGTTCTAGGTTTTATCATGTCATATAGTTACCATAAAGACCTTTTCATGCACCTAGATTTTACTGAATTGGAAAGAATTATTTTCAATTCTTGGGATTTTTCTATGTACTAAGTAGAAAATTATTTATGTTAAATACTAAAATTAGAATGGGAGACTCATAAACATTCGATGATGAAAGCTAACATGTAGAAAACAAATATTAGAATGTAAACAAAACCAACCAGAAGCTCGCCTATGACAGCGGCCATGATAAGTCGTTACGTCATACCATGATGGGCCATGATGTTTCATGGCTTCATTTTCATTGCATGGGGCATACGGAAGAGGTTTACTCCATTTATTCTAACTTCCTTGGTATAGTATCAAATTTAAATGTTGGCAGGTTATAACACAAGCCAAATAATTACAACTTATCAGAACTGGCAAGAACTAACGTAGCGTGCACGCGCAGGTGAAATCACGCTCTGTCTTGCAATCCAAAAAAAAAAAAAAAAAAAAAAAAAAAAAACCTCAGTTGAAATACGATCTAACCTCATTTACATTCTGGTGAAGAAACGGAAAAGGAGAAGTTAAAGTAAAGGCTGAAATTATTAACAGCCAGTTAAATTAAATAGTAACCTTATATATTCCTCGATTGTTTTTAAAACTTTATTTATGAAAATATCCCTTAGATCCTAGTTCATGTACTAAAAAAACGTAAATTACACTACCAAACAAAGTTTTTAAATATATTTAATTATAATTTTTTTAGCATTTTTGAAAATAGAGTTGTTTTTCTTTAAAATTCCATACATTTCCTTGATCTTCATAAAATTATCTTTTTATTGCGAATGGAACACGTAGTAAATATTTGCCATTTTTTTAAAAAATAAATAAATAAAATTTACTTTCTTTGATACATGAAAACTAGCGGAAGGAAAGAAACTTCTAAGGAAACATGAGTCGGTTTCGCGTTACACATGTACAAAATATGAGAAAACACCCATATTTTGTACATGTACCCATGCCGGCATTCGAGCCTAAGTTGCTTAGTTGATTAATTGCTGACGGCAAAAGGAATGTCTTTGTGGGTCTTGTGGAAGATATACTACCTCGTATTTACGCTACACATTTTGTAAAAAAAAATTAAATATTCATCCAGCATGCTCGATTTTGGTCTTTTGCAGGCTTTTGCTATATGTTTTGCGGTAAAGTATAATGATTAAGTGAAGAGTTTACAGCTGTTTTTCTAAGTTTTCCATTTTGCTGAAATATATACATATATATCAGTAAAGCATCAGCATAAAACGAAACTCTATGGAATATATGAAAAAGAAAACAGAAATGCCTGGCATAAAAAAAGTGATAGGAAATGATGTTATTGTTATTTATTATACACAAATGCGTGTAATTTACTCTACGTAATCAAAAATGTGTAAATTTTGTTAAATTATCTGTTAAAAGTAAATTTATCCACTTCAAAAATGTATCAAGTGCACCGCAATTACCATCTATCTTATATCTTATATTGTCTTTTGTCTTGTAGAGACATAAGGTATTTTTTTGGAGGCAGGCAAAATGAAAAAAATAGCAACGCCTTCCCCGGGAATCGAACCACGGGCCTCGGGAACACCGGCCCAGCGTGCAGAACCACTACACCACGAAGGCACGTTACGAAAATGGGAGAAATACCTTATAATTTTATATTATATTGTCTTTATCTTATCTTATATTGTCTTATCGCTATGTAAGAGAAACAAAACCAAACAGGAGAAACAGCTCGTGCAGAAGAGGTGTAGGTGTGTAGGTGTATTTAGTTATAGCAAAGCACACGAGGGCAATCTGCCGAAGGGGACGGATGCCTTCGTGGAGGACTTTCTAAGGGAAACTGGCTCGTATACACGTTACACATGGGGGAAAAACACGAAAACGCCCATGCAGCCAGCCCGTTCGCGGGATTCGAACCTCGGACCGAATTACCAGTGTTCCGCTCGGCCGCTGATGTGCTGTGCAGAAGAGGTATAGACAGATATAGAGAGGCAGGAAGAAAACAAGAGATTGAAAGAGGACTTTGAATACTGATTTAATTCGAGTAAGCAAATTAATCGATTTTTCCAGATTAAATTGCTTGAAAATGTAGGGAAACTATTAATAATATATTGCTGTTAATCAATACAATTCTTACTTATTTTTTGTGTCCTTGAATTAACCGATTAACCGTGGATGTCGCTTTCCTATTACTCCATTAATTTAAAAAAAATGATTGTTTTTTGTTATAGCAGTGATAAATTTTATTTTAATTTATTTTAATTATTTAATTTAATTAAAATTTATTGAACAGTGATAAATTTTACATTATTATGAGTTTAAGGTCAGTAAAATCTGAAATAAGTAAATGAAATTACGTATTCTTATCATATTGTTTTATCTGTTTTGATAATCCAGGAGGACTAGCCTACATATTCTGACATCTTTTTAAACAATTCTATTTTTTTCCCTAAACTCATCATACAATGTTGATCCTCCTCCCCCGATAAAAATAAGAATTTCGTAAAAAGTCTTACTTCCAGATCAGAGCTTTTACATCTTAAAAGCATGATATTTAACATAACTAATGAAAAAAAAAATTACCTAAATCAAAATATGCATTTCATAGAAATTCCGTGTTTCGCATAAAATGATAATGGCATATTTCAAATGATAAGCGCAAGAATCTAATAAGTACTTACCAAAGGCATAACTAAAAACTGACAAACGAATCCAACAGCTGGACCGATAGGTCTTTTGAGCACTTTTTTCACGACTCCGATATCGAGAGCACATCCCATGTTGATGTAATTAATAGTCACGATTGTCGCTACAAAAGCTGTAAACACTTTGTTGATCACTTTATCTTGTCTCACAACAACAACCTCTAGAGGGGGTTTCAATTTTCTCACTTTTTGGGAAGTAACATTCTTTTCAAGAATAAAAACTTTGCCGAAACCCAGGAAGAGACCTTCAACTTGGAGTGTCCCATTGCAAGATATGTTTATCCGTCCTTGACACTGCACCGAAGACAATTCTGCAGACAAAACGTTAGACGGTTCGGATTCGGTGCTCCAGATAACATGTTCGAAAGGCTTTTTGATATCATGAAACGTAATTGTAAGGTTCAACTTGTCATCAACATTAAGTTTGTCAACAACCTTTGGCGGATGGAATGACAGGTGAGTGCCACCAACAAAAGCAACAAAAGCTAAATATGCAATCGCAATGAAAAGCGTAGCTGAAACCATTTTTATTTAAACGAGCATTCCATACGATTTGCCCTTCGCTAAACAGACGACATAGGTTAGGAGCAGAAACCGCAACGCTGAAAACGGAAGTTTACGAGTTGCATTGAACCGGGATCGTTTTGCGCCACATTTGGCTCTTTCCTGACTCAGTGGCACATCGAAGAAGCCCGCAGTTTTGATTGCGATTACAAATGTTATCTGCTAAACTCGCTTTTGTTTCTTCCTTGGCGGTATTATAAGGAAAAATGCCTGATAAAATTGGCAGTTTAAATAACAATGGGAGCACCTGCAGCAAAATAAATGTAGGAGGATGTTATAAATCTGATATGATTAGCAAAGTATTATCTAGTTTAACAGTTGCTCGCCTTGTAGAAAACCTAAATAGTTCTTTATTTGATCAAACGAGTTTTCAAGGTTATAAAAATATATCGTGTTCTAACCAAAATAGACATTTTTTTTTTTTTTAAAGCTGAGAAGTAGGGCGTGTCATAATTTCAATAAAGTAAATTGTGCTACACTTCAGGAATCGTTTAAAGAAAGGATTTATAAAACTAGAGAGGCGTAAAATATTTTACTTGCGAAAGAGAGTTTGTTTTGTAAATCGGCGAAAACATTTTAAAATTTTACTTTATACATATAATTAAGCAACTGAATTTTTTATTTACATAGAAAATGTGATGTACTTCTTACAGGACTTGTACGCTGTCAAATGTTTCAGGAATTTTTAATAATATTCTAAAAGCAGTTCAAAGAATGATTGTTCTATATTGAGCGATAAAATATGTTAGAAATATATTTTACTAACCGAAGTAATATCGCAAGTGTTCATAACAATTATCAGTTGAACATGCTGTATGCCAAATAAATTTATCTTGCATTACATAAAATTAAATGCTTTAAAAATGCTACCCAATTAGATATATCATTAAAAATATAATAATGATACGCATATAATCGAAAAGAACATTTATTACTTTCAAATCTTTTTTTTAAGAAAATGCAATTATAATTTAAAGGCTATAAAGTTATATAAATACTACACCAAATGCTAGATTCTGGAAATCGGTTACATGTCAGGCCACGTGAAGAATAAGTAAATGGGGGATTGGAAAAACGATAACCTTCCAGTCAAGCTTATTTCTGAAAAATAAAAATAATAAAATATAAAAAAGTAATTAATTACATTAAAACTTTTTTTTTTTCATTTACAGGCACATACACGTTTCAAGAGCATTTAGGCTAACGCCACACTGGGCTAAAAATATTTAAAAACAGCAGAGCTTTATAATTCCGACAGACAGTCTAGCGCGATGGAGATAAAAATTTTTATATTCGATAGAGCTGACTTCGGTATTCAACTGCATAATAATAATTTTTATTTTTAATATTATACTGATGTGTGCTGATTATTTAGCGCTGTAGGCGTTTGATGTAAATTTTACCTTGCAGGCTCAAGGCCAATTTGAATTACATATGCAAGCAATTATACTAGACAATCAGATACGGATATCAAGATAACGGGAATGTCTCTCTTGTCTTATGAATAAACAACAACAAAAAAGGCATATTGTTAAATTTTTCCGATTTTTAAATTTCAGCTATATATTTCTTAACTTACTATTATTAAATAAATATAACTTTAATAATTTTTACAAATAAATACAAATAATTTTCAGTTGATAATCATATTCTAAAAGGCGATCGTCTTCACAGAATATCAGCTGGAATCGATGGTAGAATCTTAGAAAAATGTCACCAAATATTCTACTATAGTACAAACAGTGCATAGGGTTGCCTAAATTTTTTTTTTTTCTGGGACCAGCAGATAGTCTCACGCTGACATTGCTGTATCCATATCTTAGCAATTGCAGATAGAAATGTACATATTTCACACTTAATTTGAAAATAACATTATGTTATTATTAAGGCTGATTATCTAATTCTGATAAAAGAGAAATAAAAAGAGTAAAAAGTTCTTTCCGTAAATTATATCTGATTTTTGTGTTCATTTTTGTACTGATGTATAATCTATTGCTGCAGCCTAAAAATATCTTTTTAAAAACTATTACAGTAGTTCTTTTAATTTGAATTACATATGCAAGCAATGTATAGTTTCTTCAGATTTGCGTAACTATAAAGCCAAAATTTTTCGTTTTCCTTTATTGCAATCAAAAAGAAACTGAGTTATTCTTTAATTCCATTTAACGAAAGAATTTTTTCAATCAATTTATCAAAAAAATTAGATGTATTATCCAAAAAACTTTCATGTTAATAGTATAATTTTACTTTTTTTATATGAAAAAAATAGGAAGCTATAAACATTAATTCTTAAACTTAATGCAAGGCATTTTTCCTATATTTCATGAAATTCCTGTTGGGAAAAAAATTATCTTTCATGCAGAACATATGAAATATATTAAAGGAAAAGTTAAATAATGTCCCATAATTTACATCGAACAAGATAAATTCGATAATGAGTTCAGGAAAAATAAAAGAAAGCAATAATAATGAAGTAAGGATAATAATAATGTTTAATGATGCGTATGCTTATTTACTTCCCTATTTACTAAATTTCACAAGGAAGAAAAAACCGCACTGATTGTTCTCTCGTTAGTTAGATAAATGACAGTTTTGTTTAAAATTTTGTTTCTTATGGCAATATGTTTATTTTATGGCAATTCAATATTTGTATTCTTTCAAAAATTAGCGTATTATTTTAATGGAAAACTTTTTTCTTCAATAGCAAATTTATGCTTTATAGCATTTATTTTTGCCCAGCTTCCTTTACTTTCGTATAATATCTTAGCCTAGGATGATTTAAAAAATAATAATAAATAAAAGATCTGAAAGCCTTCAGATTTTATATTACTCCCAAAGGGCCGTTTTTGACATTTTGTGTGTTATCTTTATTTATTAAACATCATGTTCTTCACACTTAAACTATAAAATTCAATTCAACAGCAATATCACAAAATATTTGGAAAGAATATAACTTTAGAATTTCCGATAGACAGTCTCGCGTGCTGGAGATTTTGTTTTCCCCCGTAGAATGTTGCCATGGCTCGCTTGGAAATCGTTGAGTTTGTTAATCACAAATTCGTTAAAGTTTTACAAAATATGAAATAGATAATAAACAAATTTCAAATTCCAAATTTGTGCTTCCAGATACCCATTTTCGAGTGGAGCACAACGTTATTCAAAATTTGGTGTCTCTAGGTATCGTTGTTTTATCACAGTGCGAGAAACATAGATACATTCATGCAGATTCTTAATTATTTAATTCCTTTAAATATAATGCAGGGTTCTAATATTTGGTGGCAAGAGTTTGAAAAGTGAAACGCAGTGTTATAGTGGACGACGCAAAATGCCGAAACGAAATTAATGTCCCTTCTGGGCAAATAGCTCTTCTGTTCAAATTAATAGCCCTTAAGTAACTTTTCCCATGTTTTACCCCTGCATGTAAATAACTATGTACCATAGAATATTTAACGCGCCCCTGTGTGGAGTAGTAAGTGAAATTTTAATGCAACTAGTGCCTCAGTCCTTGATATTTAGGTAATGTTTGATTAATGTAGGTATAATAGTATGTTAGTTATTGATTTTCATGTAACATATGTTTAACGTATCTATGATATCTGTGTTGGTATGTTATATTTCAGCATGTCTCCACATATAATTGTTTTAAGCATTATCATCTTACTGTTTCCATATCCTACCCCTGCATGTATATAACCTTGTACAGTAGAATATTTTATCTTACGCCAGTCAGGCGCTTAATATGTGAAATCTAATGCACCTAGAGCCCGAGTCCTTGATATTTATATAGATACTGGTGGACGTGGCGCTACACCAATTAACCATATGGTAAAGGGGTGGTGCCCACGTCCTCCGTCGCATGTCGCATTTCTCCTTTAAGCAGTTAAAGAGAGTCAAAGCTAAGATCTTCATGATTAAGCAAAACTAACTGCTAATTAGGTCATACCTATACTTGTAGCCCACAGTTTTATGTATATCTTAATTAATGAAAGGGTTTACTAGTGACCGAGTGTGTTTAGACTGTGGAATTCTGCTAATTTTTATCTACATTTGAATCTCAGCGGATAGCCTTGCTGAATGGACGTTTTCGTCATGAATACAACTCTATTTTCTTTTCTCTTATAAAATCCTCCTGGCAGATAGCCATCTCGTGCTTTGCCACGGACATACAAATAAACTTAATAAACGAGACAGTATAAACAGGAAACGGTAAGTGGAATACTTGATGCGGTTGCATTCATATACTAAAACCTCTACATTTAATTCTTATTAACGCCCTTATGTTGATTCACACAAATTAAAAGAATAGTTATAAATTCATTATCCCAGTATAATGCTTATTTCCAACTAATTAGAATGGCTATGAGGGCCTTTTGTTCTTTCAAAACCACTCCAAAAGCTGTAGCGACTGTTTGGCTGGGTTCTTGTAAGTAAGAAATCCAAAAAAGGGTTAAATACCTTTCATTCCAACTCAAAATAAATGAACAGATGACCCCTTCTCGGTCTTACAGTAAGCCTCCACTTGGGCTTTAATTGAAGATAGAAAATATAAAACTAATTTAATGTTAACTAAAACAAACCAGCCGAAGCTGCACAGAATTAACTAACTGTGTTCGCTCTTATCTAAGATCCCGGGGTATACTAACAGACACGTAACAATAGGGCCGAATAACACTAAGCAACGACGTGGCCGGAACACGTTCTTATACAATTTTCCAGTGAAATGACTTATACTTCAGCTTAAATACTGGCTTCTACCTCATTTACATCAAACGTAATTCTGAAAAGTCATTCTGATAGGGAGACGTAGTTGGAAAATGAGAAAGTAATAAAAAGGCTTATTCCAAAATAAAAGTAACTATTAAAAAATTGAAATAAACCCTACACAGTTAAAAAATTTTCTAGTTTTAATGAAAAGAAGCATTCACCTGTTGTAGTTATTAGTAATATTTTTAGCTGTTATTCCTATTCAGTTATAAAGGAAATCCAGCTTTCGTGTTATTTTTTCTGCTGTTAACATTGTTGAGCTGCAAATTATAAACTCAATAATGCTTTTGCGGAATCGTCCAAAAATGCTTTCTCAGTTGGAGAATTCAGTTTCTTTGAGGCTTTCCATACCCGTAAAAGTATGTCCATATTAGTCAATGCTTGTAAATTCGAAATCGTATTTTAAAAGCTTTTATTTAAAGTGCAGTTACAGTGCTTGTCGCTAT